ACGTCCTCCCTCACATCCCTCAGATGGAAGATGACCATCTACAAGCCAGGGACAGAGACCTGGGACACGTCCTCCCTCACATCCCTCAGATGGAACCAACCCTGCCAACACCTTAATCTGGGACTTCCAGCCTCCAGAATTTTGAGAAAATAAATTTCTGCTCATCACACTAGCCAGTTTATGGTATACTTTGTTATGAGAGCCCTACTAAAATAATAAATACACTTACCACTTAGCAAATAATCTGATCCCAGTTTTTCTATTTGATTCTGACTCATGGCTCTGCTTTGTCTCTCGAAACCCACACCCTTCGGCATGGAAAATGAGTACAAATCAGAAGGCGGTATGTCCTAATTTGTCACTGGAGTTGAATGATCTTTCTGATCCTCAGATTCCTTATCTGTAACACGGGGATGTAGTCTCTACCCTACATACCTAAAAAAGCTCAAATGAGGTACTACACATAACAATGTAAAATGCTACACAAATCTAAGGCATCTGAGTCTCACTCTCTATTCACAACATGCAGCACCTCTTGCCTAATTATAATAGAACCACTGTTAGGAGTTCTCTGGGAGGTTTCAAGTTCAGAAGGCTCCACTTCTAAATGAGATCCTGCTATCTGTTCTTTCTAGTTTATGAGGCATGAGGGGAGCCAGATGACAAAGGAACTTCTTTGCTCAAAGAGGCAGGAATGTGGGGTGCTCTGAGCTGCCACTGTTCTTACATCTCTCTGGATGCAAATTTAAAGGGAATTCCTCAGACAGCTTATTTATTTTTATATATTTTATAAAGAAATAAGGAACAGAGTGATGGAAGCCAATTCCTTTAGGAAGTAAACTTTTCAGGAATACATAAGGAAAGGGGAACATGCACATCAAATCACCTTAACAAAATTGATGGCCACTGAATGTAATATTAAAGTATGTAATAGTAGATGCAGTATACTAGCAACTTTCCAACATATTTGGTTTGTTCCCGTGCCCTTAAAATAATTTTTGTTATCGAGAATTTGAAAAATTATTACTTCTACAATAAATACTTTTGTAAAATAACCTATAAAAATATAACTTATTCCTAAATAGTTAACATTCTAGTTGCACACATTCTTATGCATTCTCAAACGTTACTCAGAATAGAATTTTTCTGATTCTACTGTTTCAGTTCTCGAGAATGCCTCCAGATGGCATTAAAACCCTTTCCCCATTATATTTTGGAGCGCACACACACACACACACACACAAAATTAAGAATTAATAGTATTTTAGCCATTTAAGACCAGTTGCCTGCATTATATAATCAGAAACCACGACAACGGAATTAGACAACTTTTAGAATGTTTAGGGTAATAACTTAAGAAAGACAAACATGTAACCATTATGAAATATATAGCTATCCTGTTCAGCCAAAGGATTATTCTAGACTGAGAAACAGATCTGGGACAAAATAAATACTCGTTATTATACCACAGACTGTGATTTCTAACAAGTAGCACTTCAAAAGTGATTAGTAATAAGATTACTATCCACACACAGATAAATTCACAAACCCTGTCTTGTAAGAGGATGACACATCTCACTATTCAGATGTGATAAAAATAAAAATTTTAAAGTAAGAAAACCTGTTACTCATTCCCATGGAACTAAAATAGAGTCACTTGTTAGCTCATAAATTATTATATTTAAATGCTGATATATCATTAGGTATCAAATTAATCATTACAAACTTACTTGAGAATACTGAGAGGAAAAAGACAAAACCGTGCAAGGAACACATGTTTTGTAAGTGTCTTTTCTTATCTTTTAAAAACTGCTTTTATTGCCAAAAACAAGCTACAAATGCTTGAGATTCTAGAGCTATCTAAAACGGTATTGTCACATAACTCAGCGGTGAGGTTACAAATGGCAAACTTCTGAAATGACCTGTACTTAACAGGTGTGTGGAACAGACGAGCTCCCAGTAAGTGTGAAAAGTTCTACAATTCTTAAAGACAGTGCTGAAAGTCACCGACCAAATTCTAAAGGACTTACCACACCTCCTCCCATCTAGAATACATCCTCAAATCTCATTACATTTCCACTTTAGAAAGAAGAGCATTTGCATTTTTCAAGATTCCTCTTACTATGCTAACGCACAAAAAAGACCTCAAAATGCATTCGCCCAAAGCATTTAAAAACACATTATCATGAGAAAAGAGAACCCTGGGCTTCCTTCTATTATTATTATTACTATTACAAGATACTTGGGCTATCTCATTTTATAAGGCATATTAAAGAACAGTCACCCCTGATAGAAACACGAAAGAGACTTACGATGTATTCGATGTGCCATTGTCTGGACTCTCTGGCTCCGCATCACCTTTCTCTTAAAAAGGAAGCAGAGAAAAACACCGACATGTGAATCTTACAGTCTTTAAGATTTAAGAGAGATTAAATATATTTCCATGCTCCTATTAACAATCTTTCAAAATGCGTAGCAGGAGGCTTTTAAAATATCTTTTATTATCTGAGAACCGGATTTGCAAAATAATTTCTTCTCTGCAATGCAATTGCCCAAGCACAGATCTGTGAGTAGGTACTAAGGAGCTATTTGCAAACAACCAGAGGCTTGGAGTGGAGACCTTGCCAGAAGATGAATATCTTGCAGATGGAATGTGTTTCCTTCTACTCCACTTTACAGAGAATGTAAAGAAAGAAACCCATTAGCGTTCTATATTCAAGGCACTTTGGACTTTGATCCCTTCTACTAACACAAGCCAAACCAGGCCAGGCTGAATCAGAACTTGGAGGAGATAATTTTACAAAATACTGAGGTTGCTCCATAGGTCACAAGATCCCCCCAAATTATACCCCATGGAGTGTCCTGGCCACAGTTTCTGGGGCCCCAAAGTTAAAGCACAGTTAAGATTTAAACCAGAAATCCTTTCTGAACACCTGAAAGGCTAAAGAAATGTTTCTGTGGGCTGTGGTCACTTGAGGATTTATCAGGTTTTATTTAAGGGAACCTGGAACCAGTTCACTTTTTGTAGTTTTAAAAAGCAAATTGCACTTGCAAGGAGGAATGTAATTCCTAATCCTCTAGCCAATCAGAGGCTTGCACCATGCACCCTGAGGCTTGGGGATGGAAGGAGAAGGGTAGTGCATGACTAGAGTGTGAGTTAGCTGTGGCCAATGATGGTGTGCAGTGCCCCAAAACCCCAAACAAGGCTGTGAGCTGCAAGGAACGGCCCTGAGGGTGGCAGTTCTCGGCCTGATGCTTGGCTGTATTCTTTAGAGTTAGGCTTGGAGGTCTCTAGCCCCCTCAGTCTATTGTCCAGGCTCTCAGGCCTATGTGCTGTTACCAAGCCCCTTTTGTTAGCTGCCAATACTAGCCTGGAGGCACCTAGTCTCGGGAATGACTCCCTACATCACACAATGAACACATCCCAAAGATACTGTCCAAACTGAACTCCAAAGCCAACTTTATATTTTCATAAGTGACAGTTATCTACAGATGTGACTTTGCTATGTCTACATAGCGCCAGAACAACTGCGAGGCGTAGCTACTTTGTCAAAAAACTGGTCAGATGAGAGAAAGAACAGAAAAGAACCACAAAATCTACTCTATCTTAATTGCCTAAATAACAAGCACTGACTAGACAGGGCCCCCAAACATATGAAACCATGTGAAATAAAGGCAAAGGCAGCAAATTAACAAACTTGCTTTAAAGCTTATTCTCTGATATTACATTTTGTCTTCCAGGCCAGGTCTGTGTTGTGCTCATTTTGGAGACAGGCCTGGCCAACTGGCTTCCATGCTGGAAAATAACCTAATTTAATTTAATACTTCCAGAACCATGTTTCCACTGAGCAACCACAATTCCTGCCATCATACCAGAATAGAGAGTTGTAACACCCGCATTATGTAAGATAAAACAAAATAGAGGTTCAATTTTTCTTGAATGTAGCGATCTCCTCTTTCGTCCTTTGATTTGGTCGACCTGGTTACTTTCCCCAGTCTACAGCCTCCAGGATTTACCGCGTTCCATCATAACCAAGGATGTATAGCAGCAGGCAACAGTTAACATTTCCAAACAACTGATGCCAGCAAACAGGGAGTTGGTAATATAAACGAAGACTCTGTTTGGATATCTGCATAAATAGGCTTTACCTGGACCAGCACAGGGATAAAGCTGCAGCTGATTATCTCTGCTCTTAGCAGCACTTGTGTTGTGGCAACAGGGAAAATAGAATAGAGTCTGACAAATAGGAAGGGTACGAGGGGCCAAGCAGGACACTGGTGAACAGTCCGAGAGTGAGTGTTCTCAGCAACTTCACTGTCCATTATGAATTAACCTTTCTGGGGAAAAGTAAGCTTAGGATCGAGGCAGCGATTAAAGTTATTTTTGACTTTCAGAAAGAATAAAGCACAAGAAGCACAAAATTCTCCCCAACATCTTAAAAAATCTTAGATGATGCAATGTCTGAAGTTAATTTGAAATGCTGAAGTGCATAAGCCACTGAGAATCAGAACCTCTTTATCAGGACCCCAAGGGAAAATGATGAATGTAAGTTAGCCAGAACATTCTCTGCAAAAGATTTTTTTTAGTTGGGTGCTTAGGAGATGTTTCCATGCAGTCCCCCAGGGGGACTGGTTTGGGGTTACCCTGTTGAAGTCAGCTGTTTTCATGATGGATACCACACTAGTCTCTTTGGGAGAGAACCTGCACTGATCGTTAATATGCTGGACATAAGAGACTGCAGGTGCAGGGTGGTCATTTTGCACGTGGAAATACAATTACAGGGAGGAAAATGGAAAAACACAAGGCACAGGAAGAGGAATATATACATATGTATATATGTGCACATGCAAATGTATATGTATATATGTAAATGTATGTGTATGTAATGTGTATTATACATGTATTGGCTCATGATAAACATTTTGAGAAACACATAAATCAAGAAATGTAGTATCTGCACAGATGGAATGAAGCCCTCTGAGCAGAACTAATACACCCAGCAAGTTAAAACTTGCCTGGACGAAATCAGAAAGAATGTTGACAGTCGTGTTTCTTGGAAGTGAAATAAGGGACCATAACAAGGTCTGTGTCAAAACTTCTGTAGTGACCTACATATTGTCAATGTGATGTTCCACATGGTCTTGTCTGTGCCTTCCATGGTGCCTAACGTACACTAGGTGCTCAGTATGTCTCTTCTGTTCTGACGGTTTGCCACTAGCACAGAATCCCATGCTAGGAAGATGGAATGTACAGTGTGAGGCACTTACGGCTTGCTGGCTCCAAGAGCCCCTTTAAAAAATTTAACAGTTACCTTTTTAATTCAATAAATGTACTGAGGATTTGTATCTTGGGTACCCTGTACAGTTTATACTTAACTGGGTTAGGATATGGACCAAAGAAGATTTTAGAAAAGGGAATTGAAACAAACTTGAGTCACATTGAATTCTGCCACAGAGGAAAGTTTGGCTACGTTGCAATTTTTCTA